TTTAAAAGCATGTCACAACTTAATTTCATGCGCGATACGACCATGTGAATTAATCTTTCACAAAGAAAAAAATATTAAATAAAAAGTGCAACTTTTATTCAAATAATCCCAATTAAATATATGTTAACAAACATATTAAAACTAAGCTTTCTAGCATGCCACAATTCAAATCCAAGTTATACATCATCATGAAAATTTAATCTTATACAATAAATTAAATATTACTAACTTTCTAGATTTGATAGAAGGCATACATAAAAGTTGTATAATCATGGAAAATACTCAATACAACACATAGATAGTCCTAAAACATCCCCTACCTCACTAGAGAAGTGTTTCTCTAGAGTCCAAGGTAAACAAGCTCAAAATGATAAACCCTCCTAGGGTTATGTAGAGGAGGATGAGGGGAACAAAAAGTGTTCAAAACTTAAAGGTCTAAGGTGAGTGGAAGGCCATAAAAAATCAAGGTCAAGGCCTAAGGTTTCAAGCTCCATCCATGGAGGCTAGGGTTTTCTTGTAAGGAATAAAATGGCGTAATGTGAAAATGAGTGAGTGAAGGAAATAGAAATCCTCCACTCACTTTGTGATCCTACAACATGGTCAACACACACATCTATGGTCAATTGCACAAAAACCCCTCCTTAAAACCATAATCCTAAAGTGGCCCAAAAACAATTGCAAGACTTAATTTGGTGCATACACTTGTCACTAATCCATGTCTCCTTCCTAGGCTTAATCCTAAGCCTACACTTGTCAACCATCTAAGCCAGCAAGTGCACCAATCCTAGGCTAACAAGTGGGTGAATCTCCACCCTCCACATGTCGTCATCCAAGGCATTAAAGTGTCTCCACACAAATGTCAACAAGTGGACCAATGAGAGTGTGACACTTGTCACACTTTTCAAAAATTGCAAAAAGGTCCTTTTTGAAAATATCTTCCAAATTAAATTATAAAATGGTCTCTAAGACGAAAAATAATTACTTTACGGTAATTACACAAAACCCTAAAAGTTAGGAAAATTACAAAAAGGTTATGCGTCTATACCCTTTACAAGAAAAGTAAGCATTTAGTTTGCTTTTCTATAAAAGTGAAAATACACATAGTATGGAATTTCAATATCGTGGATGCATGCAAAACAAGAATCAAATCCGAACACGAAAAGTGAGGTTATTCCAACAAAGTGATAACCGAGAAAAAGAGGAAAAGTGAATAGTGTCAAAAAACAAAAAAATGTGGAAATTACTCGGTCCGTAAAGGAAGTTGTCAATCCAAAGAAAAGAGTCTCGGAAATTATTCCAGAGCACTCGAGATGACACTAAGTGATGAAAAACTGAACTTAGAAAGAGTAGGAACAATGGAAAAAAAGAAATATCCGTGAAAATCTAAGAAAAGGAAAAGAAAGAAAATGACCGGGTCATTACAACCTACCCTCCTTAAAGAGATTTCGTCCTTAAAATCAGGAACAGACAAAAGAGAACCGAACGAGATTATAGCAAGATTAAACCAAAGGACACACCATAAGGTGCTAAAGGAGAACTCCAAAAGCCTGAAGATTATCCGAAGGAACGCAAAAACCAAAGACTGAGTGACACTTCCCAATGAATCGGCATATTAACCCAATGTCAATCACAGAAAGAATCCCAAGACAACGACAAGTCGAATCAAGACTGATGGCTAAGAATGACACGGTAGTACGAACAACGACTAGAACCCGCCCACACTTACTCGTCAGAAAGGTAGCATGACAGTATAAAGAACTAATTCATAACATGCCACAGAAAAAAACTTTTCGATACAAATGACATCAATGTCGGAAATGATTATTACCAAAAGCACTACGGAAACCAGGCATCCGTGAGAGTTGGGGTAGCTAATCCCAAAACTCTAACAACAATGTCATTGGCACCATTATGCTTAAGGCCTAAAATCCCTAATGCTGGTGTAACTAACGACCCCCATATATGAGAATGCGACAACAACAACACCAGTCCCAAATCCATAGCCTGACAAGTCCGTGCCCTCAAGCCAATGGATTGGATCCACAAAATCGAAACCCTAAGCACATATCTGAAGTAAACCTATCGTAAGGCCATATACAGAAGACAAAACGCTAGGTTAAAATCCCTATACTGGACAACTAAAACCTCAAAACATAAGTCTACCACGTAGCTTACTCATAACAATCCCGACAACCAAGGTCATAAAACCCCAACATAAGTGCAGGAAAAATGAAACAGTATAAACCAAATACTCACATAGTATCTGCTTGCAAAATTAAATGACATAAATCAAATAATATCATAGTACTAAACACCCAGTACACATAAGGTAAACCAAATAAACCATCTATCACATAGAGGTTAACTAAATAGCGAAGCACTATACACCACCAACGACATTAACATGGTAAGCATTTACTGTATAAACGAATGCATCATATACATTCTCACATAGACTACCACATAGTCATACATCTTAAACATGTTTCTATGACATGCCCTAAAACAATGGGCTCATAAACCTATAAAATGATCATACAAATGGCAAGTTCATAAAATCAAAAGAAATGAATGGAATGTCTCTCAAAAGACACCACGCAGAAAATGTAATACAAAACGTAGATGAATCCAATCCCCCACCATGAGGAAAGGAATCACCCCCCCCCCCCAATGACCACTACGTCCTTGAGACATAGGGTCGGCAAGTCTTTCCCAAGACTAGCACATACTCTGATGGAATCCCTACACTACATGAAACAAGACAATAACGAAATTGATAGCCTTAATGCTAACCGTTACGAGACATCAACAAGAGAACCCGCAATCCAAGATACCAACGGGTTCGATAGGAACTCTACAGGATACTACCAAAACCCAAACACAATGCCCCAAGTCTCCAAGACAAGGGAGGGCAATCAATTGCACCAACGCAATTAATTACATAAGACCGCTCACATCCCAACTATAGCTCGTAAGAGCTGTTCAAGGCAACACAAGAAGGATCTTAGGTTAACACACCTATCCAAATTCTGAAACCATTGCCCTAAAGAGGCAAGACATACGAACCTTGCCCTGAGGCTCACAAGAAACTTCCCAACTCCCAAAGGAAGGATTCGAGTCAGCCCTGACTCATCTTCCCATGACGCTAGAAACAAAGATCTCAATGACATCAATGATGTCATGACCACCATGAAGTCCTAAGAGATGACACCGTTACCTCTAACACCACCATGACTACATCACGAAAAGACAAAAGAAAATGAGTCAAAATGATGTCTCTGTAGCCTACATCTCATCTCGGACGGACACTACAACACTACGCTCACCTGATCCCTAGCGAGAAGTCTCTCCGTGAGTCAAGACTGTGACACTATATGCGTAACAAGGAAACGAGATCAATAATAACATGAGTTATTATGATCGAATGCAACTCGCTCAATGAATGCATCAAATAATTAGCACATCAATGTATGCAACATACAGTAGTCATGCATAAGCAGATAAGCATATTCAACATGCTAAACAAATAATGAAAAACTCCTAGGTACTTAAATACATAAGCACGTATCAAATTATGATGTTTTTAAACACATAAGTATATAATAACAGAAAACATGTCATCACACCGAGCATGTTATCAAAAGACACGTAAACATGTTATCAAAAGGCACGTAAACATGTTATCAAAAGCATGTGAACATATCAAAGTACATCAACAAAAGCATGATATGCTCCCAAAGCCCGTCGTCCAAGGTATTCCAACTCGGACGCTCTGATACCACCTGTGACGACCTTGGATTTTTTAACCTAGTGTGTCTTGTGATAACCCGAAACGGATCCAAAATGCGGAAGCAAAAGAGAAAAGGTGACCTCTAGAGATGCACGTCATCCCTAAGGCACCAAAATGATTCTATATGAAGCTATGGAACTCAAATGAGCCAAGCAATGAAACAAGAATGCCAAACCCGAAAAGAAATGAACCAAGGGCAAAATGGTCATTTCATACTAAAATGGGTGCCACCGTGCACACCATTGGAAAGACAACGAAAAATCAACAAGAATAGACTCAAGAATCGCATGATTCGGAGTTCGGACGACAAAGATATCAAGTTCTGAAGTCGAAGGAAGGGAAACCCTATCCCGGTTCAAACCAAAAACAGACACTACCTTACTAAAACTTGAATATATAGAGCTACAAGAAGAATATGAATCTCTAATTGGTACCATTGGAAATATTATTTTGACGCAGTCAATTTAGACTCAAGAATGGACCAATTCGGGGTTAAAACAAAGAAGATATGATGATTTGAAGTCGGAGGTGCAGTGCTGAACCAAGACACAAACACGTGAACAGTACCACAGGCACTCTTGCAAGGGCTTCAAGCACTCGAATGGCACACGTCCAAGGGCCAAAACTCTCTTCCCCATCTTCGAGCGCTCGTGCGACATCTTCGAGCCCTCGTTCTGCTAAAGGCTTAGTAGAAAACTGAGTTTGAAATGTGATTTTGAGGACTTTCTTGGCCTTTTTTTGGAAAAAAGTTGTAAAGTAACCCCCCTTAAAATCATGATTTCTAGCCAACTATGCCAAAATAAAACTTTATTTTTTATGTGGAATCCCCAAAATGCCCTTATGCTCAGTTTAGGCTCAAAACGGCAAAAATGTGAATTTGCACCAAACATACATTTAACCCCAAATGCACTTCTAGGCTGAAACGAATATGCACACAAACGTAATAAGTGATTTTGAGCACGCGGGAATGGTCCATGGCTCCCGAAAACGACCGATGCAAAATCTGACCCCCCGACGACCAAAAAGGCAAAAATGAATTTGATATGGAAATTTTGAAAACCAAAATTAACAAATGATTGGAAATTACAGTTCGGCCCTTGGCCACACTTCATACATGATTAATGAATTCTAATGGATGAATCTCATACATATTGCACACTCCGGTGCAAAATAACATACTAAAATGCAAAAATTTCCATATATTCTCATTGAAGGGAAAATTTAACATCCATGACATATATGTGATTCCAAAATAAGTTTGGCCATTGGCCTCATGTCATATACATAAAATGAGAATCAAAAAGTACGCTTAGGCACAAATTACAAGTTTAGAACTAAATATACACATTTGACATATAAGGTTACAAATGGCTTTTCAAGCCAACCTTCACAAGAATTAAACCCTTCGAGTCCTCAAATCATCCAAGCATAATAAGAGCCTCTAACCTTGAATCTTGTACCTGAAATATGCCCCAGTAACTTTGCGGTGAGCAACATAAAGCTACTCGTTGGAAATGAGCATGCATCGACCTAGCATTTTACAATTTTATAACCTTAAGGTGAAACATGTCAAAGGGGCTCATGCCACCTAACGTCTATGTCAAGATGAGACTCAGGGAGCATCCTAAGCTACCCTAGATCATTTCTAGCATAAATCATATCATCCATGCAATTCAAACTACATAGGAGCATGCTATACAAAGCAACAAGGTATAGATTCTCAAAGTTATCAACTTGAAATCTAAAATAAGAAAACAACCAAAGTGGGTCGTGCCACCTAACGTCTATGTTCCAAATGAATGTATAGGATCATTCCTAAGCTACATTTGAACAATATAGCACAATTCACCATATCTAGGCAATTTAACCAACATAGATGCATGCTATACAAAGCAACACGGTATAGATTCTCAAAGTTATCAACTTGAAATCTAAAATGCGAAAACAACCAAAGTGGGTTATGCCACCTAACATCTATGTTCCAAATGAATCTATAGGATCATTCCTAAGCTACATTTGAACAATATAGCACAATTCACCATATCTATGCAATTTAACCAACATAGATGCATGCTATACAAAGCAACAAGACATAGATTCTCAAAGTTATCAACTTGAAATCTAAAAGTGCAAAATCAACTAAATATAGCATTTAGTATAATTAGAATTTCTAATACCAAACATCAAGACATAGATTCTCTAGATTATCAACTAGAAATCTAAAATACGAGATCAACTAAATATAGCAATTTAGTATAATTAGAATGTCTAATACCACACATCAAGACATAGATTCTATAGGTTATCAACTAGAAATCTAAAAGTGCGAAATCAATTAGTGGAAGACTGGGACACCACGCTTGGAATTCTGCCGAGACCTCAACGGTTATTCCGGGCATTAACCCGCTGGGAAGACCACCCTAAGTGCGCACTATCTCAATTGGGGAGAACTTATACCTCCCGCACTAGAGCCAAACTCTAGCCATAACATAGTAACCATGTCCCGAGTGACTCCAAAAATAAATAAGTTAACAACTTATATTAAATAGTACACGAAACTACCTTCATGCACAAGTAGGTTGAAGCTACACAATACATGCTCTAAATCCATAACTTCTATAGGATGACAATGTCGAATCTTCAGAGCACGATTCGTTACGCGCTGTAATAACATCACATGTCGAATCTTCAGTGTGCGATTCACTACACGCTATAACAATTTAATCTAATATTGAAACATAACTTATAAATCCATTATAAGTCTAAATTCACGCATTAAACATATTAACAATGTTAAATACATGATTTATTGAATAATGCAATAGAAACGGAAATTAATCAAATAACTAATTAATTTCCCTATTCTTCAAATGTCAATCAAAAGGCCCGCAATTTATACATGTTAAACAACATAGCATGGTATCTACACACATTCACTAAAATCTCAAGTAGGCCAATGGTACACTAAGGTAGAATTTAATTATATCTTGATAATTAAACTTTAAAATTTCAAAGCAACTTCAAATGGTCCCTTTTCAATATATACTAGTATACAAGTCCTAGTCATCATGATTACCAAGTTAAAAACTTAATTAGACCAAGGGATCTCTCCCCTTGAGTTGTCAATATCTATTTTTGGCTTTCCACAGACTCCGCAAAAAGTACAAAGGAGAACAGAATGTGAAGATATCTGATTGGATTAATTTATGGTTCCAAAGTGCATCAAGGCATGCCAATCCCTCAAAGAGAACGAAAAAAAATAAAGTTTATCATCCAAATGAGACTCAAAACCCTTCTGGTGTAATCCTTCCTGTCCAGTCAATGTCCACTAAAGAGAAGGAAGTATTTATTAACCTTGGTGTAGATGAAGCATCGAGAGACACTACTTATCTAGCCGGTTTTTTAGCATGTTGGCTCTGTAAATTCACCTTGCCTACACACCCTGGCAACGTGATTCGTCCTGGAACCTTCAAGGTTGCCGGCATGTTAGCAGATGGCTGCAACATTTGTCTTTCCATCCCAGTTTTGGCCAGTATTTACAGAGGTTTGAACGAGATTGTTTCCTCTCCAAATCCTAGAAGTTGCTCTGTGATATTTCCTATACACTACGTATTCGGATGGTTGAGTGACTATTTCAAAACTAATTTCATCGTTCCCCATACCAAATACTGGCCTCGAATGACACTATATGCAGGAGAAGGAAGAGCAAGACATTTTGACGTCTTTGAAGCACAAAATTTATTCAGATCATATGAAAGAGTAATTTTAACTCATTTGTCTAAAAGATCTTCAAAACAGCGACTCATTGTGGACAATGGCCATATGATAAAGGCTGACTCTGACTACCTAATCAGTCTTCGATCATGTTATTTGACATTGCGCCAAGATGACCGTCTCATTATTGAGCCATATGGTCCACACAGATTTAGTCGACAATTTGGATACCACCAAGATGTTCCTGGAAAATTGAAGAATGATATTCGTAACTATACCTTAGAAGAATTCTTAAGGTGTTGGAATTCCTCCGTTCATTACTCTTTTGGTTGTGACGCGTTGCTTCCCTCAACATCTAGTCACCAGAAGTCCTCAATTACCAAAGCATATGCTAAATGGTGGTCCAACGTATATGTTGATCCATTTAAAAGATTGGTTTCATTGTCGACCAAGCGTATGATTTCTCCAAAGGAACCACCAACCAAAGTCAGAAAAATCATTATCAGTGGACCCAAGTCAAATTCTCATTACAGACAAGAAGTTATTGAAACTCACAATACCAACAACATCAATGCAGACCTACCAACAGAGCAAATTCTGTCACCGATAGAATCTTGGCACCATTCTCAATTGTTAGTCCAATCAGATAAAGAAACTGACAATGAAGACCGTAACTGGAAACATGTAAGTGTAAATAACTTCCCATATAATCGGGTTGTTATTCCTCATGATTTAAACTGCTTGTTTTTTTTTTTTTTTTTAGAAGGCAATGAAGGCTTTCTTGGAGAAGATGTTGTTACGGTTACTAATCCTATATGCAATGGGGAATCTATTTATGGACCATATGCATTTGATTGAGCAGCTAAAAGAAACTGTGTAATTACTCAAGATGAGAACAACCCTCTCTTACAAGAGGTGGAGTCCCTTGAAAGGCAGTCACAACCCCAAGCCTCTTTGATTGAGAAGGATGTCCAAAGCCAACAAATGATTATGAATGTTGAAGAGATTCCTGCAAGTGTTACTGCCTTATCGACTAAGAGACATCACCTTGGAGATGCCCAGCCATCTCACCGAAACACACCTTCTGCAATTACCTTGCCATCTCTGAGATTAAGCACACAGCAGCCAAAGCATTTGAGAATATCATTAAGAGTAAAGTGAAGTGTACCCCGCTTTTAAAGATTCCATCTCTTAAACTAAAGTTTGACGAGATCTTTCTTGAAATTTCTAAACAATGTGTGGATTTTCCGGAGTTCCGCCATAGAATTGATGCATACATTCAGAATGGTGAAGAATATAACAAAGTTCGATTCAAGCATGATCATGCCTTATCTAAAGAAGTACGCTCTCGACGTTTAGCCGATGTTGGTTCTCACCTTAAAAAAGCTCTAGCTTTAGATTATACAAACGTGAAACAAGTTCAATTAGCTCAAGAAGCTCTACATAATTGTAAGAGAGAAGTCAAACTTTTGCATACTTGTATGGAAAGACATAAAGCCACCATTAAAGAAACTAATAACCGAATTCTCCAAAGAAAAGCTAACATTGCAAAATTCAAGGACGAACAAAATTCAATTGAAGAAACCTCCATTGTCACTGATGATGATATAAAAACTTTAAAGTTCCTGGAGAAACTGTTACAAAATGCTCAAAATGAAATTGAGGATCTCCCTTTGTTGCCTTAATAAGAAATTTTTTTTTTTTTTTTTTTTTTTTTTTTTTTTTTCTACATACCTTGTAATAAAATATCATTTTATTATGACAAAGCAATGAATTTGATTTGTTTATTTTGCCATTCACAGTTTATACTCTTGCGGGCCAGGAGTGAGTTTTTTTTTCATCATACTAAACTTAGAATAAATTTTTAAGCTGCCTACATACCCTCAAATGAGGGATCAAGTCATCACGTAGTTCAAAAGAGACATAATTTTTTTTTTTTTGGCCGTACACAGTTTTAGCTCATGCGGGCCAGGAGCATAGTGCAGTTTAAGCTCGTACGATCAGGAGCATAGCCTTCATGGGTAATAGCGCTTTAGGAATTTGCCATTAATGGGCCCCACTCTTACTCCGTCTTCATCAATAATGAGATATGCGCCGTTAGTATAAACTTCATGAACAACATATGGTCCATCCCATTTGGATACAAATTTATTTCCCTTACGATTCATGATAATTGGTCTCCGAACAGCTAATACTAAGTCTCGAACTTGAAATGACCGAGCTCGAACTTTCTTATTGAACGCTTTAGAAAGTCGAGCTTGATAACACTTTAGCTGTTGTTGAGCTTCTAATCTCTTCCAATCTAATGTTTCCAGTTCTTGAAGACGTAAGATGGCATTTTCTTCACTTGTAATGCCTTTTTGTATGGCAATCCTTAATGAAGGGATCTGTTGTTCCAATGGAAGAACCGCTTCTACGCCATAGACAAGAGAATACGGAGTTGCTTGAGTAGGTGTAAGATGAGTAGTGCGGTATGCCCACAATGCTTCTTCCATTCGCTCATGCCAATCTCTCTTTGTCTGGTTGATTACTTTCTTCAATAACTCACAAAGTGTTTTATTGAATGCTTCCGCGAGACCATTTGTAGGGGCATTATACATGGGGGATTTACGTTGTTTGAAGCCAAACTTCTCACAAAGGTCAGTCACCCAACTGTTTTTGAAATTCGTGCCATTATCAGTAATGATGTATAGAGGGACACCATATCGATAAATAAGGTTAGACTTGATGAAATCAACTACTGTTT